ACCAAGGGATATTTTCAAAATCTACCTGGCAAAAAGAAATAAAGAACTCGGGCCAATAAGACAGACTGCTAGGGGAATGTTTGCCCAACTGAGATTTTATCGTTCCAAATGATGTTATGAAATCCATAAGATAGACTGCTAGAGGATAGCAATTACATGTGACAGCATTATCTTGTAAAGAATGAAATCCTCTAGTTTCATTCAACAATACAGACAAATTATCCACATAAAATGACTGCATGTATCAATTTTTAGGCTCTTCCCCTCTGCAGCAAAGAAAAACCGATAAAGAAGCCATGCATCATTCAATGGTTTAAATCACCCATGCATTTGATGGAAGGAAGACCAGATTCATTTGTATGGTGCTTTCTTCCCTGGGTCTCTCTTGATAACTGTTGCGTCTGTGAAAATATTGTCATGCGAATTATCTTTTAAAAGCTTACAATGGACTACATTAATAGATTTATTAGTAACACTCACAATAGATAGTCTGAATGGGCAGAATTTAGGCTTTCCTTTTCGACCATACTTCAGCAGTTGAGCACCTTTTTTCAAAGCAATCAATGCCTGCAAAAGGGTAGGAGCATCATTTACGTTTGAGCAAGAAGAATAATATGAGCAGTTGGAAGGAAAACTGGAAAAGCTAGTTGGGATTAAGCCGTAATATTCATATGGCTTCATCCATGCCTAGCAGACAATCACTGCACAAGTTTCCAGATAGACAGCAGCTTAGGTTTCCTGATACAGAGAAACATTTTCCCTTATCCAACTATTGTCTTCATAAGTATAAAGTAGCATGGAGAGCTTGATGCATCCAAAGATTAATAATATGACCCAATAATACTTTACAGCATTAAAGTAAAACAAGCATAATGGTCGTACTACTGTAGTTTTCCCATAACCTAATCATGATCAACATTCCTGCGTAAAATCTATTGGAATTAAATTGCCTGTATGCACTAACGGACTCAAGGACAGCGCTATGTCATTTGTAGTAAGAATGCACTATTGTCTATGGAAGTGCATGTAACTTTATATGTTGCCAGCCCTCAGCTTAGGTTTTGCAGAACTTTTTATCACGCCCTTCCAAACTTAAGCTTCCATGTCTGCCCCAACCCGTATGAATCATTGGTTAATTTTGACATAGGTTGTTCTCGAGTATCATATTTAACCACCCACTATTGATTGAAGTATATTAAAAAAAATCCCGGATAAAGCATTATCGTTCCTAATTTCCTAGCCAACTACCTTTAAGGAAAGAAGCTTCTGTAAACCTGACTGTTTATTACTCTGTTTCTTAAAATCTCTCTCCATAAAGATTCGCTATATGTATAATTCACACTATAAAGGCCATATTATCTGCCATCACAAGCATTTGTGACGAAAACTGAGATCGAGCATAACAATTGAAAACGCTATGGGAGAGTTACAATCCCATAATCTAATGCAGTAGGACCAGGATCTTCAATCCCACTCATGATCCTAGTGCATGAGTCCACTGCAAATTAAGGATTTATTACAGACCAAAAAGAAGTAGCAAAAAGTGAACCCTCTTTGTCTGCTGTTAATTAGGTCTCGGCCAAGCACTCGAACAAACAGAACTCTTAGTTGAAACCCTTTCATCTCTTTCAGCAACCACAGTCGAAGTGTTACAATACAGACTAGCAGCAAGCATATCCAAGGCTTTGTTGAGACAGCAAGAAGGCACCGATATATAATTGCCTCAAAGCTTCCAGAGAAGAAGGCAGAGGAACTTTAAGACTCCTTGCCGCCCGCAGTCCCCCCCCACAAGAAGAAAAAACAGAAATGACCCAAGCTCTTTTAATCAAAATAAGAGAGAAGAATATGTTGATTACACGTTTTGAGCATGAAGAACAGAATGCATTTTCCTGCAATATCTCACCAGGTCTCCAGTCATAACCACAACTTAGAATTATACATTTCCACTTTCTTCCAATTCATCGATGTTTGGAGCAGTCGCTCCAGTCAAGAATCAGTGAAGATATCGACCTCTCACAGATACCAGATTCTACATGATACAATCTCTACTTCTACAAGTCTTTCTCAACTGATGACATGGCCACAGAAAGTCCAGAGCTCGCAAAGCATATCCAGAATAAAACGAAATCTACCGACCTAAAGCCTCAAATTTGTAATCGACAACATAACATCTCAACAAGAACAACGAGGGGAAAAAGGTTGCCAACTCGACGCATATCTCAGAGACAAAGAGAGGCGAGCGAGAGAGAGAAAGAGAGGGAGGACCTGCTCAACGTCACGGTCGGCATTCCCGTAGCTAACAAGATCTGCCATTCCATGTATGAGTTTCACCGGAAATCCACCGCCCTCTCCGATCTCTCACCGGACGCCCGGACATCATATACCTCTCGACGACGTCAACACTACCATCAACGACCCCTCTCTTTCACACCGCCACCACCAATGCAAATATCTATCTCTCCCCCCAGCTTCCTGCAGGCACGGAAACGGAACAGAAAACCGAAAAGCTACCGCTCAGCGCCCGAACGAAGAGATCTGCGCCTCCCTCCCGAGAAATCGAACGACCTCGACCTCGACCTCGACCTCGACCTCTCCCCAAAGTCAATAACGATCACAGTCTGGAACTCCGCAGGCACTCGCTCCCCGAATGCGAAGTACGGCCCTCGGGGCGCGCTCGGCACGGGTCGCCGGAGGAATTCGCCGCCCTCGGGACGCCGAGATCGCCGGCGGAGATTTCGAGCTCCGGCGCCGGAGAACGGGAACGGAGGTGATGGAGAAGAGGAGAGGAGAGAGAGAGAGAGAGCGAGGGGAGTTTTTCAAAGACTGTAAAAGGGTAGTACAAGTAGTCAAAGAGAGAGAAAAAGCGAGAAAAAAAATGGGGAAAAGTATGCGAGATGAAATCGCTTCTGCTAGATTTCCGAGAAAGAGAAAGAAAGAAAAAAAGCAAAAAGAGAAAAGAGAGGAAAATAAATAAATAATTCCCGTCTAGAAGACATGTCACGGCCACAGTCTCCAACAAAATCGACGACCTTTAATATAAAATTGAGAAAATGATAAAAATAATTCTCGAATATTAACTTAACGTGTGCAGCGTAGTTTCCAAACTTTTAATTTATTTGATGGGATTCTTAAACTTTAGGTTAATATCCGATGCGCTCCCTGAATTTTTAATTTACTCGATATGATCATATCAAACAATTTAAAAATATATCGAACAAATTAAAAGTTCAACGATCATTTTTCATATTGGATCAAAGTTCAGCACTACTTACATCGTTTTCCTAATAAAATTCTCGAGAGCGAAAAAGAAAATGGAAAATGATTTATCGAATAATAATCGGATTATCCTTCTCTCTCAATTTTTTTTTTTTTGTGTGTGTGTGTGTCAACTTAATGTGTAATAAAGGGGGTGCGTGCGTTCGGTGTTAATGTGGGCACGTCGTAACTTGTGAGGGCCCGTGTTGGGGAAGCCCAAGAGGGACACAGCCCCCCAGTCGTGAAAGGTACACTGTCCCTGCTGAAATGACCCCTCTGCCCCCCATCCCCCCGGGGGACCCGGGCCCTGACCTGACGTGCGCTCGTCCGAGAAGCGAAGCGGCGGGAGGCGTACTTTGTTTACCTGCGCAGGCGCGTAGCGTAATCCAATCCCTCCAACTCCCCCGTCCTTTGTTCTCATTTTAATTTATGTATATCCAAGCAAGTACCTTTGAAAATCCCGAACCATTACTACTCCTTACCGTATTTATTGCACATCAATTTTCACGACCCCAAAAAATTCCAAAAATGGTACGTACATGCCACATATATCCATAACTAATTTTATATTTTGGAAAATTGGAAAAAAAAATCTGCTAGAATCCCAAATTAAACCCATTGTCACACATTTATTATAAAACATTTTTCTATTGACACCAGAAACCCCTAAATTTGTATTTGTATAGCACATTCATCACTTGTCGCGGTGAATATAGTTTGGGATTTTCTTTTTTTACTTTTTCCCTATAAGATTTTCTAAACTCGAAAGAGCTCTCGAGACATAAAATTAGTGCATTTCAAGGTAATTCTCAATCTGTGATTTCGATGATTTGAGATGTTATTGGAACACGAAAATTAGTTCAAGTTAACTGTGGACCCGAATGTACCGGTTCGTAATATAAAATAAATATGACTTGAATATATCTTTTCCAGATTTTTTTTGGAAGGGGCGGTCCATACATGTTGTGTTGGGGGGGGGGGGGGAAGGAGGGGTTCGGATCCCGTGCGTCGGCGCGGTACGTGGACATGGGGAATGCCATGGGATTTTGGTTTTTGGGTTCTTATCGGGAGTGAGAGAGAGAGAGAGAGGAGCCCCCACGTTGGTGTTGCGACCGAAGACCAAAAAGTAAAAAAAAAATCTCGCTTTTGTCGGGCAATTCGTCCATTTGCATCAAAAGACAAGAGAATGTCCCTTTAAGGCGCAGCCGCACCCGGCATTCATGCGTCCCCCTCCCCCGGTTGCTCTTTTCATTCCTCCTTCGAATCGCCTCTCCTAGGAGGGGCATGATGAAACTGATTGGGATTTATCGAGCTCGCGCCAAGTCCCGTCCCCACCCCGGCCCATATGTTCCGAGAGATGGCGAATTAGACCTGGTCGTTGGATGGGGCCGAACGTCGGGTTTCCCGATTGGAATCTCTCTGCCGGGGTTACGCAAGCGGGCTCGTGCCCAAGAGGAAGGGGGGGGGCCGCTGGTCCGGTCGAGTCGGGTCGGCTCGAATCGGGGGCGCTTCGGATCTTCGTGGCTCGAGTGGGCCTGGTCTGGCCCAACGGGCCATCTTATCCACGATCAAGCGAGCCCAGCCACGACGTTCCGGGCCTTGATCGGGCCCAATCGACCGACCCCCGCCCCAGCTACGGTGCGCCCTCCCGCACCGGATCCAAAATTTATAACCCCTCGCGCTGCTCCGTCCCCCACCCAGCATCGAGAAATCGAAAGGGAGAGGGGGAGCATCATGAGGGCAAAACATCGCGGCAGCATTTCCCCTCAGAAAGCTTAGGCGACCTAGGGTTTTATCCTTTTAAGCCCAATCCCCCAAGGCGAGCGAGATCTCTCTCTCTCTCTCCTCGATTCCATCTCCGTGCTCCGCCGCGGGTTCTTCTCGGTTCCCCTCCGTCGTCCGCCGCCGCCGCCGCTCCATCCGAAGCGCTTCCTCTCTGCCGAGATTTAGGAGGGATGGGGGACGGTTACTGGAATCGGCAACAGCCCGTCGTGCCTTCTCCTGGGCTGCTCAAGCGGCCTCGCCTCGATTACGGTAACTCTCCTGTTCCCCCCTGCGAGTTTCCTTTCGAAAGCGCGTTGGATGGAAATTGTTTGGGGATTTCTCGCGGGCTTTTGCCGCGCGTGTGGCTGTGCTCGATTGAAATAGGTTGCGATTTGGGGGAAAGCCCGTGTTTCTTCGTGTGAGCCTAATGGCTCTTGCGGAATTTGCTCGCTGAATGGGTCTCCGGACTTTCGGTGTTTTGTTTCGCCTAGAACTTGGTCCCGCTTGTGTTGTCTTGATTGTTTGCGAGCGGTTGCTCTTTTCGGAGCCTGGGCGGTGAAATTAACTTGATGGGCATTGCGGAAGGTGGTTAATTTCTGAGCGAAAAGCAGTATTTTGTCTTCTTATGTGGGTTTAGCTTCCCGTGCCCGATTTGTGCTCTGGATCTGTCGCCGTAGAACAACTGAGATAGTGAATTGCGCAGAGTCTTGCAGTAGTGTGCTCTTTTGTGAGTGTCTTACATGCGTAGCTACGAAAGGCCCTGCATTCATGAGTATTTGAGGCATGCAAGTTTGCACTAGAATTGTAGGTAATCGGCCATATTATGAATGGTTACGATGCATATCACCTCATCTGTGTGGTTGTTTTTTCCATAGCAATTCTATGCTTGTTGTTTGATTCATCTTCACTGGACAAACGTTTGTGTAAATATTTGAGTATCTTTAAGAGAGAGCGAGAGAAGATATTCAAAAGTTACATCTTTACACAAAAACTTAACAAAAGAGTACATTAGATGGCTCTATTCATTGAGCATGAGAGACACTAACAAAATCTTAATTTCTTTATTTATTTATGACACTTACTAACTATTGACTAATATCCGTAAATATACTTCAACACTCCCCCTTAAGCTGGAGCATCCATCTTGCTTATGACAAGTGCAAGTTTCTTTCAAAGTCTGTGACCGAAGGGCCATGGAGGTTGGACCTTACACAAGACAAGCGATGTGGATACATTGAACCGGATTTAGGACAACGACGGCTATGTAACTCGGACCTTATACGTCAAATTGAGTAATTTACATTAACACCTATTTTGACTGAAGCTTTAAAGAAACAGACCGAGATCAGAAAATTGAAAATTTTGTCTTTCTCACACAACCAAAGTAAAACATGCGAGAACTTGACTTTATCAATTGGGGGCAACATAAACTGCATCACTCCATGGCACTCGATTTCGGCTGCTCAATGGAGTTATGCTGGACTGCGGTGACTTCGCTCATCGATGGAACTCGCAATCCAAAGTGAGTCTAGCATTGGATAAATCCACATCAGGTGTTAGAGATTTTGGAAGACCCAAAATAGGTGATTCTGTTGAAGATGAGTTGCTGCTTGATAGGGCCCTTTCCATTTGACTTTTTTTCTTTAATAACTGAGAAATTTCTGTTAAGGAAACAAAAAAGCACACAAACCAATGCAAATTTGTGAAACAACCAAAAATTTGGAAACATCAGAGGATAACGAAGGAGTCGATGACAGCTGCTGGGATAGAAGACTTGACGGATCTCTGGAATGGAGAATAGAGGGACTTGGCCAGTGGTGGCCACCATCGAGACAGAGAGATGAGGACAGAGTTCAACTTTTGACAATTTTCACACTTCAGAATCAACACAGAAGATAATAGATGAACAAAGAACTTAGACCAAAACTGGCTTGATGAAGATGACAGAGAACGATGGCCAAGGAACAATGTTGACTAAGGATGGTGCTACTCTCGAAGACAACTGGAGTAGATCTACAAGCAGAGAACGACGATGCTGCTTTTGAAGACAAGTAGGTGTGGCTACCCTTGAGGGTGACAACTGAGCGAAGTGGGCAGACCCTAATTGGACTTTTGACTAATGGATGAAGAGGGACGAAGGACGGCTCGCTACTATGTCTCTCATCTTGTGACCGACGACAGCGAGGCATGAGTCCCCCTAGCGATGAGCAAAGATTGGAAGGAAGCTTGATGGGTTGACAGAGAAGAAGATGCTGATGTCCGCCGGCAACGGGAGGGGAACAAAAAAGACGATAGTTGCAACAGAGACAATGATTGAGATGATGAAGTTCAGAGAAGACGATAGTTGCAATAGAGACAAGGATTGGGATGACGAAGCTCAGAGAAGACGATAGCTGGCTTGCTTGCTGACTTGACAGAGAAGATGGCAAAAAACTTTTTTTTTCTTTGATATCATGTAAATATCCTAGGATCTTCAAGAGGAGGGATAGAAAAAAATGCTCAAAAGCTAGATAATTGAATAAAAGAGATAAAAGATGGCTCTATACATAGAGCGCGAGAGACACTGACAAAACTGTGATTTTGTTATATATGACCACGTACTAACTATTGACTAATATCCACAAAATATATTTCAGCACTTGGGATGCTCTTACTGTCTCCGACTAATAAGATTTCCCCCTTCCCTCTCCCACTCATCGTATTTCCTCTCCGTCTAGCTCAAGTATTCATTAACATTAGATGTGTTGCTAGTTGATGAAATATGCCACTATGGTTGTTGGTCTGTTAGTATAATTGTTTGATTAGTTGGAATCTTGGACATTTTGATGCCTTTTTCTCCTTTTAAGTGTCAACACTATTGCATTTTTATGTGCACTTGAAATCCTGAGATGGGTCCTCAAGGGCAGCTCATGCAGTTTTTTATCCAAAAATGAGAGAAACAGAGAGATACAAGGACGTGATAAAAGTGAATAATTAGTTCGTCTTTGAAAGAATCACGAAGGTGGATTAGTGCATTGATGGTAAAATATCTTATTTTCAAATGTAGTATGCATAACGTCAATTAGGAATGGCAGTTCAATCTGTATGTACTCTGACAGGTACTTGATGACGACTTGCTAATCTTATGTTTTTGCTTTTTTTTCTTTGATTAAATTTTGAAACATCTTTTTGCTATCAAATTTTAGAACATTTGAGTGGAGTGAACAGGGACATTGGGGTTGCTATGGACAATGCATGATTTACCGCTGTCTCTTATTACACTTGTTTTAATCACAAATAAATGACAACCTGAGATTTATTGAAGACTGCAGTTCCCTTTTTATTTGGCAATTTCCCCTTTGCTACTATTCCTCATGCGTTCTGGTTTGATGTTTTTGTGGCGAGTTGGTTTATCATGACATGTTTTCATGTAGACTTCTAGTTGGTCATCAATGTCCCATGCCTTTTGATTTAGCACTAAATGAGCTGATATTCCATGATAATTTGATTCAAGAAAGTAAAAGCAATGTCCACCTCACAGTTTGATCTAACTCTTAATATGGCAAACATAAGTTTGCATCTTTTAGGCATTTATCTAATGTGGTTGGCAAAACCAAGCTTGTCACTCTTTTCCTCCAGTGTGGGTTTGCTTTGAAAACTCTGCTCGAAATTGTTCTTGAGGTAGATACAGTATGTCAAAGAATAAATGGGCATAGTATAAACGAGAGAGGTCGGTATACATGTTTATGCACGTGCTCTCGCTTCAGTAGCAACTGTTCATCCACTTCAACTGTTGGACTTTGCCACTTTGACCTGACCGTATCAGCTTGTTTCCTTAACCCCAGACTTTTATAGTGCAGTTTGATGGTTGTTCGATTTGTAAACTGTATATACAAAAATATTATTAGTATTTTTTAACTTCTTTTGTTCCGTACAAGCAAACCAAAAGTAAAAGTTTTTTTTTTTTTTTTGTGATCAGATATCCCTCCTCCAGGCATGCCTTCTGGTCCTGAGATGCAAAACTATCTACCACGTGATGATGATCCTAATGGACCTCGGGCTGTGAAGGACACCAAGACAATAGGATCGGCATACGACCGATATCTCCAGAGCTCAGTAAGCCTTCCTCTTTTGAAGTTGTCATGGTTATGTTTTTTCAGGTCCATTCTCACAGGGTTTGCTAAGGGCGTTATCTAAATACTTTTGAAGCAACTGTCTTCACACACTCCTGGAGAAGCTAGTACATATGGCAGTGTTGGAATGGCACGAACAATGGGTGTTCAAATGCCAGGTGCTCCGGTTGCTGATCCTTCTATGATGAGCCGTCCTGGGCCTCTTGCTCCAGACATGGCACCAAATGGTCGAAATGCTGGTTATGGTGGTCCACTCCCAATGGAAGCCATGGGAAGGCCGGGCCGTGAAACGGTTCCTTTGCCTCCAGATGCTTCCAGCACTCTGTATGTTGAAGGACTTCCTCCTGACAGTACAAAAAGGGAGGTTGCTCGTATCCTTTTGATGTCTAACATTGGTTGTAGTTGGGAATGTGTCGTGCTTTCCTGAAATTTTTAACCTAATTGGAAGTCAGATAAGAAGTCTTTATGCTTTTTGAATTTTCTTGACTCACCTTTAGATATATTTCGGCCTTTTGTGGGGTATAAAGAAGTGAGACTCGTGATTAAGGAGTCGAAGCATGTAAGTCCAACTTTAGTTATTCAGTATTTCTTTATGTTTTCTGTGCTATATTCTGACCTTTTCTCATTCTACTTTTGAACTTGCATTGCAGCGTGGAGGAGATCCTCTAATCCTTTGTTTTGTGGACTTTGTAAATCCAGCTTGTGCAGCCACCGCTTTGAGTGCCTTGCAAGGTGATAATCTACTTTTAACCTCTTTCACTGTTTATTGGAAATTAAAATTAGGTAAAGAAAGGACACAAAATAAAGGAATAGAAAGGGACAAAGAAATTTGAGGAAAATAAAATCTGGCATACTTAGTGCTATTTTTTTGTTTGTTAAGACATGACTCTCAGCTTCTTACTGAAGATCTAACTTTGCATTCTCAAGATCTGTTCTTCTCTTCCCAACCACTGGAGTTTGGCTTTTGTATGGTAGTGGTGTTGGGAAGAGGGACCATTTTTAGTATGATATTTGCTGTCCAGGGCTACCTTTGGCATGTTTGTATGAATGGGGGAATAGCTAGGAAGACCGGACTTGAATTAAATTTCAGATTGTCCTTGAAATAAGTGATGAGAGATTTTAGAAGTAGACCACAATAATATGTATGAAAAGTGTGGCAATGGAGTGGGGATTACTTACACTAGGGGAGGGTCACTGTTACTTCAGATGGTGTGATAATCCCATTTGGGATGCTATTTTATCTTGAAAGAACATCACTAAACGCAGGACAAAGAAGAATGCCCATTTCTTTATTGTTATATTTCTATTTAAAGTACCTTTGTAAGTGTCTTTTTATGTAGAAACGTTTTCCACTTGTGAAATGACGAGTTATTTGGTTGATTGTTTTCTCAGGCTACAAAATGGACGAGCATGATCCAGATTCAGCTTACCTGCGGCTGCAGTTTTCTCGGTACCCGGGGCCAAGGTCAGGTGCTGGACCGCGTGGGAGGAGGTGATGGGAGAGACCAAGTTTGATGGGGTGTGGTCTTCTGCACTTTACTGGTACCCATCAAGTTTGCTCTTGCACTGGGGTTTGCATTTCCATGGTTCAGCACAGAGGTCTGTGTGCTAATCAGATTACTCTCTTCCTCCCTTAATGAGTTCTTGAGGTGCAGGATATATCTACGGGATGCTGTCAAGACTGTAGTGGTGATGCCGAATGATTCTGTGATATACGGCTGACTATGTTAATCTTGTCATTCTATGAAAGGGTAGTGTTGTATAATTGCCTTTAGATTGAAAACTTTCTAAATTTGACTCTTCCTCTGGTAGCATTTTTATGTTCTGGATAATTTCTAAGTTCTATTGAGGAAATCGTGGGAGAGAACCCAATTTTGATTTGTCGCAGCACACATTAATTCGATGTTACTGTCTGACTTCTTGCGAATGATTTCTGATCTGATGTTGTGACAAGTGCAGGCAAGCCTTGTTTCCCTGATCTTGCTTTCGTTTTTGCATTTCTCTTTCTGATATTATTGTCAAACTTACATAATGATTGTCCTCGCAATTTTGCCCTGGGTCGACAATGGAATGAGAGACCTGGGTCACCTCGCTTGGGTGTATAATTTTGCGAAAAGCAATTTTTCTTGACATTTGGTTTAGAGGTACATTCATGCACGCTTCGCTCATCCTCATCCGATGATTTTCTTCAAGCTGAATTCATCCTCTTGTTATTACTCCGTACCTTCAAATGTTGCAATCGAATCTTGCATATCAGGTGCGGCATCCTGATAATTGCGTTCGTTCCCTTTTGTCATGCTCATGCATAAAATGTGGGGGTGTCCACTTCCTCCCTTTGCAGATGCAAGGACGCGCGAATTTCGTCCATTTCGGAGTCATGTCCAACTGAAGCAAGAAAGCATGCATGCACATCGAGTAGGACCAGACCAATTGAAGATTACCATGGTTTTAATTTTTACGTAAAAAGTGTTAAAATCTCAATGATATGTGATGGCCTTTGCCCACATCTAAGTATCTTTTCTCCTCACCAGTCGATGATTGTCTCCTAAACCCCTCCTGACCAAATAAAGCGCGGTGGAATCCTCCTCTCCCCCTTTGTCCTAGACTATGTGCTTTCTTAGTTGTGCATAGAAACGTGATATGCAGAGGGAAGGATTAAAGAAGAAAAACAGCAGGAAACAAATCCGAGGGAAAAACGAGCTCACGCCACCGTTGGATATTCATACAGTTTCAGTGGATTAGATGGGGTTTAAAGGCAAAATCCATAGCTGCAGTCGGCATAGACAAGACCCATCACTCCGTAGTCCATACCACCTTGTCCAAGTCCAGAAGCAGAGCTGTAACCGAGCTAATGCCGCGAAAGCGATAATCAACTCCACCTCTTTTTGGCGAGCCGAGCTCTGTATACTTCTTCTTCATCTCTGTAGTTGCATGTTGTGCATGTGCGCGCGCGCGCCAATTCTCTTAGCTCAGGTTTTATGCAGACAAGAAGCAATCCATCAAAAATCAGTCCTTCACCGGAATGGATTGAGGAGCCAGCCTTTCTAACGAAGAAGGGCACGTGGGGGCCACTTGACTTTTCCTGGCCAGAATAGTCAATGTCGACATTGGAGAACGGAAACATCATCTAAGCTTTGTGTAGACAAAACGAGCAGACGCCGCTGTCGGTCTAATATCAGTGTCGGTGAGGAGGGTTGGCTATATAGCTCGTTCATTTGACTATGAGCAAGTAAAATTTGTAGGTTTTTTTCTCGATTTAGCAATCAGTAGGTTTCATCTTTTCCAGGATGATTTCTGGCGCAGCTGGAATGCACTTTCTAAGGGTTTTCCCTGATGGTAGTGGAGATTGTATGATCGTGTTCTCATGCAATAAAAATCGTATTTTGTTCTTATGTATAGATAAAATGAAGCAATAAGTACCTGAATTTTATCCATTTTGTGTTCAGGTACCTAATTTTTTTTGTTTGAATTTAGTTCAATGCAGGGTGCTTGTTAAATAAATTGTCATGACAAGTGATTTTGCCGATATAGTTTAGTTACTTAGCCTGTTAACCGTGTCACAAAAAAATGGTGCATAGACAAGCTTACTACGGAATTTGAAAGTGGCCACACAAATTTATCGAGGATAGATTATGGTGGGGCACCTAGGAGTTATAACACGGGGTACCTAAGAGCGCTAGGACTATAATAACTTCGAACACCTCGAATTTAATTCCATGCTAAAACTTAAGCCGATCAGAAATATAACGGTTCATCGACACTTGCTCCAATTTCCGGGCTCAAACATGGAATCGGTTTCTCTCCTCAACACGCAATTGCTTTATTAGAAATCAACTAGCATTCGCTTTCGGGGCAAGATGCATGTTGATATTACTTATGGCGTATCCGGTTATAGTAAGTACTGAAGTGGTAAGTACTAGTATTTGTCAATCTTTACATTCATGCCACATCTCAATCATTCAACCTTTCTTTTCAAAAAAATAAATAAATAAAGATTAGGAAGTTGCTTTTTTTTTTTATAAATAAAGCTGTCGCCATTTTGTCTCCACGAGGGACTGAAGAGATAAAGAGAATAGTGAATCTGCACAAATCAGGCTCCTCCGAACGAGCACATGCACACTACCATGATAATTAAAGAGTCGAGATTTCTGGGCCCATAATTACTCACTCTCTCAATTATTATGGGCATCTATCGGACTCCCAAAGCATATGCCTTTAAAAAAAAGAGATGCATTATCACTTGAAAATAAAAGTCTGTCCGATTGGACATCCATGAAATGCACATGTAATGTCTACAAAATGTTTGCATAACGGAAATTGTCCATCAAGTTCTACATCTATTTATGGCGGCCGGTTCAGTTATAAACTTTTCGATATGGCCAGTTTAGTTCTGAACCTCTTTGATGATTTTTCAGTGTAATCCTTCCGATCAATTTTTACCGGAAATCGCTGATGCGACGGTTCAGTCAGCGCCGGCCGTCCTATGAGACGCGGCCGGCATTGATGTGATCGATTTTTGAATTCTTTTCTAAATTTTCTGAGTTTTTTTCTTTTCTTTTCTTTCGTGCCGGCCATCACTGAGGCTCGGGCGACTGGCTGAGAGAAATAGGAAAAAAAAAGACAAAAAACCCGGAAAACTTTAAAAAAATTTTGCAAAAAACATTTGTATCAACGCCGGCCGTGTCGCGTAAAACGACCGAGGTCCACGTCGGCGATTTCCGGCCGAAATTGGCCAGAAAGACTACATCGGAAAATTATTAAAATATTTAGGACTAAACTGGCTAAATTGGAAAGCTGAAAACTAAATTGACAGCCGTGCAATAAGTTTATGACTCGTTCGGACAATAATCCCATTAACTTAGTCATCTCTGTTCAATTTCCTCTCTTCCGCATTATTCTCAATTATCTCATGGCACAAAGTTCATGAAATTGCAAAGTAGAGTAAAAGTGGTAGATTAATTTCGAAGCGGCCAAGTTGATCACCAGATCTGATCCACGACCACGAGCACCTACCACCCATCTCTTCCGAGTCCCACCCTATTAGTCTGATTCGAGTCTCCATTGTTTAATTCGTCGGTGACAAAATTAAGCAGCAGCACTAGCCGCATTTGACCCGATTAAACTAGCGTTTCTAGACTCAAGTGGCCATGCTGATATTATTACTCGTTGCTTTTGGAAGCATCCGATGATCACTTGCAGTCGAGACTTCTATGCCAATCACAAGACAAAAATGAATAAGCGATCGGCCCGGATCTACGGACTTTAATGCATTTACATTTCAATGGAAAGAGATGGACCGTCATGCATATGAATCCAAATTACGTAATAAATTTATAATGGACCACATCTGAGTTTTGAACAGGAGTTGATAATGTAGAAACGAAAGGGCAGAAGAAAAGACGAAATCGGTTGAATATATAGTACGTAAGGTGAAGGAGCAAAACGCAATGCACGCATCTCACCATCATCGGTCAGCCTTCACGTCCTCGGATACTTCACACGTCTTTGCCTCAGTGAGACGACGACAAAGACAACGACGACCCATCTTCCCCAGTTACCACCTACACCCATCTTGGCAATGATAGCCGCTGGTGAAATAAGAAACCTTGATGATGCAAACGTAATGGACCTAAGTAAGTCCCTAAACTGCTTCTTCTGAACTCTCGGACGAAAAATTTCGGGGGTGTTCCCTGGTAAGGGGGAAGAAAAACATTTTCATCAAATTAGGGGGGCTAGGTGTGTGGGCACTTGCACGTTAAAATAAGAAACGCAAACCCGACAACTCACCAGGGTTACTTGGCAGGTTGGGCGTCCCTCGTCAGAGATTCGGCTCCTACTCTTTGGTGAGGTAACCAGACAAGAACATATTATATGAAGGAAAAGAAAAAATCGAATGAATTTCTCCCCCCCCCCCCCCCCCCCTCGGTTTACCGCCTCAAGTCGAAGTTATGATAAAATAAATAATTAGCTAGATAGAGTTGTTGCCTATGGTCCTAAGCAAGACCTTAAAAAATTTCGTCTAAGACCAATCCAAATCTCGGAATCTCTGGGATGTAGAACACCTAGAGGGTATCTCCTCTCCCTGAAGAAGACAAAGATATAGATGGAATTAGGGGATGGGAGGTGTGCGGGTACCGGCACGTAAAAATAAGAAACGCATTCATGAAGCCCACTGTCACAAGGAAATAGGCCACGGAGGCTCTCATAAAAGTGAAAGCTCCGTTCCTTTGGTGAGGAAACACCAATGTACACATCTCATCGTCATTTGTCAACCTTCACATCTTCAGATACTGCATACATCTTACCTCAGTGAGACGACGACGGCGACGACCCATCTTCCCCAAGTACCACCTAATACCATCTTAGCAATGATAGCCATTGGTAAAATAAGAAACCTTGATGGTGCGAACGTAATGGAGCATATTACATGAAGGAAAAAGAAAAATCAAATGAAACCCTAATGATTGGACCCCCTTTTTTACCGCCTCAAGTCAAAGTTATGATAAAACAAATAGTTAGCTAGATAGAGTTGTTGTCTGGCGTACTACGGAAGAGTAGGTGAAGAAAGACTCCTTTACGTATGGAAAAGCCAAGTTGATTATTATTATCCTGCATGAAATCTCCCGTGTATGCAGCGAATGGAGCCACGTTCATTCAATTCCTTCCAATCCCCTTGTGCTTCTTCTAGAGGGGGAGGTTAAAGTCTCCGCACGATTCTCTCTCCTTGCCTCATTCTGATTAACCGAGAACTCATTCTTTAATCCTTCGTTAGCAAGATGAACGGTAGTTAATGTTCAATGCAAGGTTAACAAAAACAGTACGATGAACGCGCGAGAAGTCGACCGGACATATATGCAACTTCGAATCGGTTTCCTATCGAGGTGGTTGTGTTTCATAAATCAACATATTTATGGATGATAGGAACACCATGCCTTGGCCGAATTCACCATACCTTGTCCTAACTCGAACTTGTCTTATGGTCTTCTGTATGTAGTCCGGTTCACTAGAGCTAGTGCGCGTACCAAGAGGTCCACACACATGCCGTATATCAATGCTTAGAGTTTAGTGTCTAAATTGGAGGCCCGGGCTTTATTACATGATTTAGAATAAGCCCCATCCTAGCTATAGCTAATTATTGGTCACATCAATGCCAAGGTGGTTTAGTTAATGTTTGGGGAAGATGTGTTCTCATTGTCTCTTTGAGAGAGAGAGAGAGATTGAGCCGCCTGGTCCCGGATGCGATAAAATCATGGAAAGTTAGGCAAAACACGTGTTTTTTCTAAAGAACTCAAGGGTAGAAACATGTCGGGAAGAGAGAGGACTGTGCTTTTGTACTATTCTTCATTTCCTGTGCATAAAAGAACAAAAAGGAGTAAAGTAATGGGGCATAGCCTTGACACTATTACTCTCTTTCCTCTCTTGCTTAGCTTGCATCCTCTTAACAATAGGAGATCAAGATCCATGCAAAGACTAAACAATACCTACCTAAGTCAAATTTGTTGATGGCACCCCATTGACACCTCATCATCCGGATTTCCTATTAACTTATTTTGAAACATTATTTTCCCAATGCAACTCTCTTTTCTTTTTTTTACCACATTTCCTAGTGTTAAAAGGGTAAACGCAAAAGCCATATAAGGGGGGAGGGGGCATCCATCCATAGCACAACAAAAACCTTTCTCTGGCCAAAATGGCTAAGATGGCCCCTCTCATTTCCACTCTTCTAGTGGTACTGGTCTCTCTTAACTTGCCCCTAGAGTCTTCGGCAAACTACGGTTACTATTCTCCTCCACCTCCCAAGAAATCTCCTCCCCCGCCGTCCCCGCCGCCTCCGACTCATCCCTATCACTACAAATCGCCACCTCCTCCGGTGCACTCCCGGCCGCCTCCGAGGCATCCGTATCACTACAAATCGCCACCTCCTCCGGTGCACTCCCCGCCACCTCCGACTCATCCCTATCACTACAAGTCCCCGCCACCTCCAACTCATCCCTATCACTACAAATCGCCACCTCCTCCGGTGCACTCCCCGCCACCTCCGACTCATCCCTATCACTACAAGTCCCCGCCACCTCCAACTCATCCCTATCACTACAAATCGCCACCTCCTCCGGTGCACTCCCCACCGCCTCCGACTCATCCCTATCACTACAAGTCCCCGCCACCTCCAACTCATCCCTATCACTACAAATCGCCACCTCCTCCGGTGCACTCCCCGCCACCTCCGACTCATCCCTATCACTACAAGTCCCCGCCGCCGCCGCCTCCGACTCATCCCTATCACTACAAGTCCCCGCCACCTCCAACTCATCCTTATCACTACAAATCGCCACCTCCTCCGGTGCACTCCCCGCCGCCTCCGAGTCATCCCTATCACTACAAGTCCCCGCCACCTCCAACTCATCCCTATCACTACAAATCGCCACCTCCTCCGGTGCACTCCCCACCGCCTCCAACTCATCCCTATCACTACAAGTCCCCGCCACCTCCAACTCATCCCTATCACTACAAATCGCCTCCGCCTCCGCCCCCTCCTCGTGTGAAACCCTACAAGCCTCACAAATCTCCACCACCTCCTCCTAAGGAGCACCCCTACAAATACAAATCTCCCCCTCCTCCACCGCCCGTCCTCAAGTCTCCGCCGCCACCTCCTCCCCAGAAGCCCTATGTTTACAAGTCTCCTCCTCCACCACCACCCACGAAGCCTTACAAGTACAAGTCTCCTCCTCCACCACCACCCACGAAGCCATACAAGTACAAATCCCCACCACCTCCACCACCCGTCCACAAGCCACCACCCACGAAGCCATACAAGTACAAATCCCCACCACCTCCACCACCCGTCCACAAGCCACCACCCACGAAGCCATACAAGTACAAATCCCCACCACCTCCACCACCCGTCCACAAGCCACCACCCCACCCTTACACTTATGCATCACCTCCTCCTCCTCACCACTACTAGAGGTTGACTGTCGAAATACTCTCAAAAGGTAAGTTTGCTTTAAGAGTTTGCGCTATTGATCACTCTTCACACTCAAAGTTGATGCTCATTCCTGCAATGGCATACAACAAATTTGTGCTGACTCATTCCTAGTGCTTCTCTGTTACTTTTTCTTACTCACGCATGTTTTTACGTATATCTGCCTGGTTTTTACCATTCAATCACGTCCAGTGTAATTAAGGGGAAAAGAGAAAGTTGATATAATATGTACTGACGAAGAAGTTGTGTACTTTTTGTTTTGCAGGACGCGGTGAGTCCTTATCGAAGAAATAAAGAAAATGGATGCTGAAGAATCTTTATACAGACAAGGAAAAAGCGAGAGGGTTTCGCCGTTTGCTTTGGCCAACTGAGCTAGCGAATGAATAAATAGACATATAGATGGTTCTTTTTTCGTTTTCATGTACTTTGGCTTATTCTTAGAGGGTTTGTCGTATGACTGTATTTGAGCTTTCAGCCTCCGTGAAAATTCCGAGGCTGATCCGATCATATAATAAAATAAATGTTGTGTTTTCCCTTAATCACCTCCTTTCACTCTTTTCATTCAGTTTTTCCCCATCTAACAAGAACCCGAACCACATGGATGCTCATGCGCACGTGTGTTTATGTGGACGCTGGCATGCACCTTTCGATGGATCTGATGATTTTAGGACCGAGCAATAATTTTAGGAATGCAAATAAACACTGGTTTACAAAATTAATTTATAAAACTATGTGCTAAATTATAAGTGGTATCCAAACACATGAGTAAAAAATTTGTCATATCATTCTGTAAAACAAACTTTACAATCGATATTTTGTCCACACATTATTGGCTTTACAGACGGTGGGGTACTTTTTTCTTTCTATTTTTTGTTTTATTTTCACCGGCATGGCAACTGATTGTTGGTCCACAGTGCAGGAATTCAGTATCCTAACTTATCCTACATGACTGTGTACATGAAATTAATTTTTTGATCGAGTCACTAGATCCATCGTCAATAATTCATAGAGGAGAAGAGTCCAACATTGTTTCGATGGACTCCATCTACCCAAGTTTTTGCTATTTTCTTCTCTACGACCTGTCAAATTCAAAGTTGCAGCTTGATCATAGGGTACGTCGACTGTAATTTAATGAAAGTACGTAAGCCCCACGTCCATCCAGATGAAATCAAGGAGATTCGTTTCCTTCCAGGATAACCCGACTTTTGAATCGTTCGTTCGAAATAAATGATCAGAAGATTCATTTGACACAGTCAAGTTCAAGAAATATTAACTCATACAGATCTCTGATTTTGAGAAATCAATTATGTTTAACATATATTTTAAGTTCTGGTGACATATTAATAATTGCCTGACATGGGATGCAAACTCAAGCCTACAGTGTGAAAGCCGTCCTGTCCCATTCTTGTTAATGTATGTGTTAGTCTTGTTTGCTCCGGAGATAGCTATTTCATACCATTGATGTTGATTATGGCTCGAAGTTAATCCGTTTGATTTGGAATCGACACAAACTCATGATTTTCGGGACATAAGTATTTGCAGGGGCATAGAGACATAGGCAAATGATCGGAGATACAAGGAAATGGCCCAGTTAGCGCCAGGACAAACTAGGCCACCATGCAAGCTCCCGAACAAGACCTAGTAGCTATTGTGTTTTTTAGTGCAGTAGCCGGGTGCCCGAAGAGCCCAGCTCTCGATGGGGCCCAGATCCAAACTTTTTAAAACTCTATAGAGATATGTTCATTAAAAGTCATAAAACTTATCACGAAAATGCAATTTAGTCCTATAATTTACAAAAAGTGCAATCAAGTCCTAAAACTTGTCAAATTGATTCAAACAAATCCTAAAGTTAACACCATCAATTTCTAACGGAAAATGCTGACGTGGCATTTTTAAATGAATTTCTATCTCCTACGTGGCATTTTTAATTAATTTTTATTCAAATCTTATTTAAATAAAATTAAAAAACCATAAAAAAAGCTAAAAATTAAAAAAAAACAAAACAAAACAAAACTGAAAGAAAAAAGGGAGAAGGAGCTTTGCCGAAGGAGGGTCGGCGAAGGTGGCCAGAGGGGTCGGCTGAGGTCGCCGGCCTTGGGCGAGGGTGGCCGGCCCTCGCCGGCCCTGGGCGAGGCCTCGCCGGCCCCAAGCGAGGGCCCGGATCTAGGCGATGCCGGCCCTCACCTGGGGCCGGCGACCATCGCCCGCCCTGGGCGAGGCCTCACCGGCCTCACGCGAGGGCCGGCCTCGCGGCGACCCTCGCTAGGCCTAGGCGAGGCATTGCCGGCCCTGGTCTGGGGTTGGCCAGGCTCGCCCAGATCTGGGTTAAGGGCACCTAGATCTGGGCGACACCCGGCCTTTGCCTGGGGCCTGCAATCCTCGCTAGGCCCGGGCGAGCACCGGCGTCGCCCAGATCTGGCCACCCTCGCCCAGGCCTAGCGAGGGTCGCCGGCCCTCGACTGGGGTTGGCGAGGCCTTGCCTGGGGCTAGCCAGGGTCGGCCACCCTCAACTAGGGCCGACGACGTTAGCCGGCCCCCTCTGGCGATGGGTGGCGGCCACAACTTCCACATGCAGCCCTAGTATATTTTTTTTTCAGTTTTCTTTTTTTAAGTAAATTTTAGATTTTTTTAGTTTTTTAATTTAATTTATATAATATTTGAATAAAATAATAATAAAAATGTCACGTATGAGAGAGAAATTCATTTAAAAATGCCACGTTAGCATTTTCAGTTAGATAAATTGACAGTATTAACTTTAGGACTTGTTTGAACCAATTTGATAAGTTTTAGGACTTGATTGCACTTTTTGCAAGTTTTATGACTCAATTGTACTTTTGCGACAAGTTTTAAGACTTCTAGTAAACATATCCCAACCCTATATTTAAAACTTATTTTAGATGAGAAACTTATGAAAATCCTAGAGAACTTTTCAGAGCCGTCATCCAAAAGAGTTGAGAGCATAGAAAATACTCCTCTTTTGCGATTGGCTTTTGTCAGTTAGGTGTTATTTAGGATTGTGAAACACTCGAGCGTGATCATTTTTCGAGTGAATATAATCATCCGTTTGCCGGTTATAGTGGAACAATTCGGTCGATCTCTCCTCGTGGTGTACGCACGTGCCGATCCAATCAAATCTGTTGTCTTCGTGTTTCATTTCCATAATTTACTTCCTATTCGAATCGTTTCGTTTCTTTACACTCTCGTGATAGTTACGACAGTTAAGTCCAATAACCATCAGAGATTTATCGAAAGAATTCCTCACATAAAACTAAAAATCAATGGTTATGAGGGACTCCTTTTGTTGTTTAGGTACGGGGGGGACTTCATTACGTGCAAGATGGGCATGAGTTTAGCCGCGCAAGCGAGGGTTAAAGCGATTGTACTCTCAATTTTAGCCATGCAAGCGACGGCGATGGGCCATTGTACTATCATCCTCAAGTGGACGATTCAAACAAAGAATGAGACAGTGCACGATGAAATGATTTTCAGATAATGATTTGATCTGGTCGAATGGTCCACCTGACAGAGTCGAAAGATGGGACCATATGGGGACGTAGCGACACGATCCAGCGCACGTTAATCCAAAAAAGTCCAGAATGCGGATTTTTCTTATAGTGAAATGGTCCATCGCGACGAAGAAAATAGTTCGTTTTTCCACCTAATCCCCGTACCCGAATATTCCCGGACATGATAATCAAGCTTATCTTTTGCTAGATAATTTGGGGACAATAATTATTGAGATAAAAACAGGAAAAAAGACTTGGGAAATTAGGAAATTCCATAATCAGTCGACACAAAGAAAACTAAGTTTAATTTAATTCGTTTTTGTATCCGGAGAGAGTGAACTAGGGTTTTAATGTTCGCATGGTTTGTAATTTTGGTATTGCGGATTCGACTTTTATTTTACTATGAAGTATCTCATATCATTAAAATTATGGATAGCGACGGAAAATGAATTCACGTGATATTTTCACTATTATTAAGCTAATTTAGTCTCTCTTTTTTTATTTTGGCAAGAAAGAAGAGGAAAGTGATTTTATCTGTTCTAAGTTTCCAATACGATCATCCTTCTTTCTTTTGAATTTAGTAGACCCATTAAAATCCTGGGGCGGTTTCAGGAGACTCTAGTTCTTTCCATTTATTTTCTTACGAAGCTTGATGTATACCCACTCCTTTAGAAAAACGGAAAAATGTCACAAACAATTCATAAACTTTGATTCAATGTATAATGTGGTTCCTTAATTTTTAATTTGTTTAATGTCATCCCTGAAATTTTTGTATATGTTCAATTTAGTCTCTGAACTATATGAAAATATTCAATGTAGTCCTTCCATTAATTCAAGTTCGGAGCTACATTGAACATTTTTATATAGTTCAAAGATTACAATGAATATGTACCAAAAATCCAGGGACCACATTGAACAAATTAAAAGTTTAGGATCCACATTAAATATGAGATTAAAGTTTAAGGACTATATTGAACAATTTAGAAGTTCAATAATTAAATTGCACGTTGGGTCAAAGTTCAGAGACTGTTTCTATCATTTCTCGGATAAAAACCCTAAATAGCTTTTTGTCACGTCAGTTAGGCATTTTTCTCAATCCTTCTGATTAGATCCTTTGCGATTGCTTTTCCCTTTTCCATCTCTAAATTGAAGAAAAAGGAAGGAACGAGAGAGAAAGCCTCCTCATCTGTTTTGGTTTTCGAGCATGTGGAGTTAATTAATACAAATCTCGCACGTCCTCCTATTGACCATGCGTACTTAGAGAATCGGTGTTACTTACCTCTAACGTACGATTTCCTATAACTGGCCTAATTCTTTCCAGCACGAGTCGGTCGCTGATTTCGTCATTTATTTTCTACCCGAAACAATTGTCGACTCGACTTTATACACTTTTGACTCGATCCAACATTTGGAGACGTACGTAAGTTCCCTTAATCCTGCTTATGTACACACTTGGAGCGTTCCTTGTGTAGCTGTAAATGAGAGGCTAATATAGCAGCTCGTCATATGTGCTCACCGACGAGGGAAATTTACACGTACTAGTCAATAAACCCAAGCTCTAGACACCAAACTCCGCGAATTAAAAACTATTAGCGTTGAAAATTGCTCTCACTGCATCCGTCCTTGTTGACCAGACACTGTCGTGAAACCGACAGATGCATCTGATTTCTGCTTTACATTAAGCCCTAGAGATCCTATAATTTCTTTTGTCATTATCAAAATCGTCGTCCATTGCAACTTGATTGATAAGGAAGGGCTCTTTCTCTTTCTCACCTAAAAAAGCGAGACGTCTGCCTTCTTTCTCTCCTTTTGAAAAAAAAAGAATATTGGGAACGTGAAGAATATGATAAAAAAGGAAAAGAGGGGGAAAAAGAACATTGGGAGGAGGACAGAAAGCTTTTACATCGAGACAAGCATAGGAGCAGCCCTTCAAACCCCACCACCACTTTAGGGTTTCGATTCATCACCATCACCTGGTTGCGTGTTCAGGCATGCAAATATGTTTTTTCGTACACCCACCTAAGCTGTCTTAT